TTTCATCATGATAAAATCCCAGATTCTGATGTTTTTGTTAATTCAATCAGATAATATTCCTTAAAAAATAATAAACGATCCCTTATACTTACAATACAAACAGGAGTGGCATGTTAAAAAAAAAAGAAAAGAACTGCATTCTATTTTTTTAATCCTGCTATTTTAGTTTAATTTTCAGAAGACTAAATGCAGTGTGTTACAATTGATGAAATACTTTATGATTTATACTTTATGATTTCTCATTTTAAAGATACATTATAAAAATGATTAAGGAAAGATTCCATTGCTGTAATATCATAAGACGTTATCCCTGTGTAAATACTGTGGAATGTTCCAGATTAAACCTGCTAAATAAACTTAATATTTTGCTTTTAGAGAGCAAAAGTTGAATCTGAAAGTTTCTTTATCTCTTGAAGTATTATAGTAAACAATATTTATAGGTTAATACATAATAAAACAAGTTTGACTTTTCCTTGATAATAAGGAATAGCAGACTCATGGGTTGTTTTTGTTCATTTTTTTCCTTCACTAGTACTGGGTATTGTGCCCCTTGAGTATGTATTTGTTATGACATTTACTTTTGATGATGGAACTGGAGTATTAGAAGCTTATCTCAAGGATTCAGTAAGTAACAAAGCTAATAATGACATTTCCATCTAAAAGAAAAATTTTTTAAATTGTAATACACTTATACATACCTATTTATTCCTAAAATTTTTAAGGCAATGTGAAAGTTTAAATAAAATATAAGCTTATACATCTTTAAGTTGTCTGTGTATGTATCTCTCTTTTGATTTGATATTATAAATCTTGATATTTGAAAAATGAAAAAATGAGAATAGAAATTTGAAGAGTCATTGTCTATATCATGCTTAAGTTGAACCGCAAGTCCAAAAATCAGAAGTATGGCCACACTATATAAGCATTATTTATAGTAAGTGTTTCACCATACTTTGTAAGCCTCCACATTTCATATTAGAAGAAATACAGCTACTTTGATAAGGAGGTAGACATTGTGTGAAGCTGTAGAGTGTTCCATATGCCCATCCTCACTTCTGATATTTCTAAAGTTCAGAAGTCTCCAAGGCCATCTTTAGTTTTCATAATTCACAAGAAAACCTTGGAACTCACTGAAAACTATTGTAGTCCAAATATAGAACTGCCTAGCAGAGGATGTAGATTGAAATCAACCAAAAATGGAGATTACATAGTTTCTGAAAGTTCCAAACATGGAACTTAGAGTCATCCTGTCCCCATGAAATTGTGAATTGTGTTACTTTTCCTGCAACAGTGTAACTATATAGTGGAGTATTGCTAACCAGGGAATCTAAATGAGTCTTGATGTCAAAAATGTTTATTGTGACTCCATCACCTTGGCATGGTTGACTGCCCATGTGACTGATTTGAGTCATCATCAAGCTGATAATGCATACCCTAAACTTTCCATATGAATCACATTGTTAGACTATTCAGAATGACACAACCCCCATCCCAGGCAAACAAAGTCTTCCTCCTATCAGGCATGCCACTAAGTTTAGACATCATCCCACAGGCTAAGGGCTTAATTAAGGTAAGGTTAAACTTCTTTCTTACTAAACATCTTGAACATGAGGTTAGTTTGAGATAAGACATTTTCTCCTACTTTCATAACCCATTAGCCATTTATTAAATAAATACTTAATGATAACCTGTGCACCGAGTCCTTTTCAGTGTGATAAGGATACAGCAGTGACTAAAGTAGGCAAACTTAAAACCTAGTAGAGAGGAGAAAAAATAAATGCATACTATCTTATGTTCTTTTAAACTTAACACTAGATTTTGTATTCTCGTGTACAGAGAATCATCAGTCTATTTTTTATCATCATCATTAAGTCAGAGTAACCTAACTTGATTTATATATATATATTCCAAAGTTCTTTTAACATTAAAGAAGTGTAAGCAGATTTTAAAGATCAGCACTCTAATTTATGAATTCTATAATCTTGATAAAGTGAAATGATCCTAGATTATTTCAGTATATTAGGTAATGTTAAAATACTTTCATATTAATTATGATTAAAAAGATTTAATATTTTATTTTTCATTCTGTCATAATTTTTCAAAGGAAAAATTCTTCCAGATTCCAGCATCAGAAATCTTAATTGATGATGACCTTCAAAAAAATATGGATATGATCATGGATATGTTTTGCCCTTCAGGGATAAAAATTGGTAGGTAATAATATTTTGAGAATCCCTTTCTTTCTTATTCTTTTTTTTTTCCAGGGCTGAGACTCAATCTCAGGGCCTTGCACATGCTAGGCAATCGGTCTCTCCCTGAGCCAAATCCCTAACCCTCCTTTCTTTCTTATTCTTGAAAGAGCATCTAGCATATATCTAATCTGCAGACAGAAATATGAAAGCTTTTAATTCAAATGAATTGTTAAATAGTAATTACTATGTTATCCACCTCTTGATGAGACAGAGATAGAGAAGGTATAAATGAAATATTTATATAATATTTTATAAGTAATTTGAAATGTAGTAAAAGGGAGGCTATTTTGATCATAAGCACTTTTTTGCAGGTAATGGGTACTGGGGTTTGAACTCAGTGGCACTCAACCATTGAGCCACATCCCCAGCCCTGTCTTGTATTTTATTTAGAGACAGGGTGTCACTGAGTTGCTAAGAACCCAACTTTGCCGAAGCCGGCATTGAAACCACAATCTTCCTGCCTCAACCTCCTGAGCTCTGGGATTATAGGTGTGTGCCACCACACCCAGCTCATAAGCACATTTGATACAAAGTTTGTGCATGTACACATTTAGGTTGAAATTATACCAAAAAGGAAATTTTGATGTTAAACATTTTCTATAATAAACTCTACTTAGGCATTTAATTCATTGGTAGATTTTCTATTTATTGATAATTAGCTTCAGATAATACAGTTTTCTTTTTCTATTTTTTTATGAACTTTAGTTATTTTTCATATAAGCATTTGATTGATCAACTAGGTTTTCTTAAGATTTAATTGTATGGATTATACCTACTGCCAGAGTTTTCCTTCTGAGGCTTTTATTTCTATTTATATTGAAACTTGCAGATCTAAATCATTTTAAGACAATTTGATTATTCCAAATATTTTTATCACTAAGAAATTTTACCTGCTGTAGATCTAACTGTTGTTAGTTTAATTTTTATGGATTACTTTTAATCACTAAACTTTTCTCTGGTTAATCTGCATCTGTGACAGTTCCAAAGAGATAGTTTTGTTCATCTCAAACAAAGTTTATCTTCTTCAGTTTTATTTGTTGTCTGTTTTTATTTGTGTTAGTTATTTTAGTTATTTGGATAGATTTCTGGAAGCAAAACTCCCATGTCAAAAAATAAAACATGGACCTTGTAGCTTTTGATATATACTGCAAGATTGTTCTTTAAAAATGTTTTATCTATTTATAGTTCTATCAGCAGTGTAGGACAGTGTCAGTTTCACTTTACCCTTGCCAAAATGAAGTACTTTATTAAATGTCTTTCACACTTGAACTTGAAGAAACATATGCAATTTTTCTAGAAGTTACAAATAAACTTACCATGATAATAAACAAAGCTTAGAAATGGCATCTGTGGCTGCCAGTATTGCTTGAGCTCCATATCTGCTACCTGATGTGAGTCCAGCTTGGCAAGTGTAAGGGCTGGAACTAATTTGAAGTTCAGGCTCTATTTCTTTTAATCATTTAAGGAAAAAAATTTAAAAGTATGTGGGTAATCACTATGTAGTCAGCAGAGGAAAACAGAATAAAAGTTGGTTTACTACTTTTGATATCAAGCATTTTGAAATGAAACAGATTTAATCAGTTTCTTCTGCTGTTGGGAAAAAAATTAAATAGACACAATTGCCAATTATTTGTTTAGTGTTAATGGTTAATATGGTTATGTATAGTGTTAATGGTTAAATAGTGTTTTGTTGTTGTTGTGTGTTTGTTTGTAGATGCATATCCATGGTTGGAATGTTTCATCAGATCTTACAGTGTCACAAATGGAATGGAGCAGCAAATTTGCTATCAAATTTTTGACACCACAGTTGCAGAAGATCTTATCTAATATTGCCATTCAACTTAGCCTAAGTAAAATACCATAAATTAAAAAGCAAAAGTTAATACTTTTTATGACGTTCTTGCAAAACAAGGAAGACATTTGGCTGTTACTCAAATAACAGTCACATTTTCATTCTTACTACTATTTTAGATTTTTTTTGTGTGTGTGTGATCTTAACGCCTTCTTTTGAGTATGTTAAAATGTGCTTATTGCTCAAAATATCCACATGATGACTGCTAGGGACATAAAAGGAAAATTGAATAAATAAAGACTAGTCTTTCATTTGATTTTTGCAGTCGTTGCAGAGAAGCCTGTTTTATTACCCTAAACTAAAAATCAGTTTTTCTATGGCATTTTTCATGTATCAACCACTAATTTCTGTGCTATATACTATTCCTTAATGAGCTTCTTTTCCTACCTGATTTTTGTATCAGCAGCCTATGGGTGTGAGGTTAGGAAATCCTTACCTTCAGTCTCAGCTTTCACTAAATGCAAGCTATTGGTTTTATTTTGATTTGTTTTTGTACAGAGAGATCCGCTTAACCAAGTTCTGCTTAAAGAAGTATTTGTCAGAGTGAACCACAGTTCGGTAAAAGTATGATTTACTTTGACTGCATTTAACAAAAATGCTTTATTTCAGTTCTGATATTGATCTTTTTAGTGTAAATCCATTTCTTTAGACCTGAATTATGTGTCTTGATTGCTTGTTTCTCTCCATGATACTAAAACATTTTCCATTCCACACCAACATAATAAAGTGATCAGATTAATGTTAATGACTTATTTATATTATATACATTTTCAATAGTATTATGTAAAATATACACATATTAGAGGTTTTAACTAATTGAATGTGATGTTAACTCAGTATAATAGTCTGCTTTTTACCTGACACTATTTGTCAAGTATAAAATCATAAATATTTAATTTCATACAAATATTCCCATGTATTTGTTTGTATGGATAGATTTGTCTATTTGCTAATGATTGACAAATACCTATCTGCCTAGTTCAGTATTAATGAAGAATAAATAAATGCACACATTTCATTGGTTTCATTTATTTGCTTTACATTGAGTGGTAGCATGATAATGATGAGGCAGAGAATCAAAGCAACATAGTAGATACTAGGCACTATATAGCAGTTCATGTCTTTGAACCCCTGAACAATGCATTTTTTTAAATAAGAAAACTTAAATCCTGATAGATAAACTAACTTGTCAGGTTCATACAATTCCTAAGTGCTGGAGTCAGTATTTGTGTTTTATTATCTATTTAGAGCCTTTACTGCTAACCACTCCAGTATTCTGAAACAAAAAGATACCATGGGCTATTCTGCATTAAATCCTGCTTTTAAATACCTAAAATAGAAGTAGATTATAAAAGAAGTCAATGTGTTTTCCTGAACTCTCAAGAGGCTTTTGATACCTTGTTGGCAAAAGGCATTGGATACATTAACACATTTCTATACCTAGTTACAAATTCCATGTTTTAAACAGTGAGAGACTTGTGACCAGTGCTGCTGTTTTAGAGATATAAACTCTTGGTTCAAAACATCCTCAAGGAAAATACTTTAAAACCCTACAATTGAACGGATGTATTTCAGTACTGCTGATACGCTAGGGATACAAAGGTGGGGTAGACATTTTCTTTTCCTTCAGGAAACACCCAGTCTAAAAGAATAGGGTTCAAATGTTGTCATGTGTTTACACTGTGAACCTATGTGTTCTCCCATTTTACAAAGGAAAATTCTCCCCATGAATATTTATGATTAAAGGTCATTTCTCTCACTCTTTTTTTGTTTTATGTAAACCATTACATTAACATGGCTTCTTATAGTTTGTTGTGGAGTTTTGTTGTTTTGTTTTACCTTTCTGTTTGAAAAAGAAGAGTTTCATTGATACCTAGTATTTATCCAGCAGTGATGTGTACATTACCCTAATCAGGAACCCAGAGTATTAGAAGAATTTCATTTCTAGAGCAACAGAATCGTAGTTTGTTATACCAAGATTTGATATATACTGCCAGATTGTTCTTTAATAATCCCAGATTGTTCTTAAAATCCCTGTCCCCTTGATATAACTACTGATATAATCTTCCTGTTAGGTTTAAAGTGTGACATAAATTTAGGAAGATCATTTGTGTACAACTTCTGATTTCTTCAGTATCTATTTATAGATACTTGTTTTAGTCAGCTTTTTCACTGCTGTGACTGAAAGACCCAACCAGAACAAATGTAAAGGAGGAAAGGTTTATTTGAGGGCTAAATAGTCCTATGGACTAAGATCTCAAAATGAGATCTTAGTCCATAGAAGGCTGGCTTTAGCCCTCAGGGCTCCAGGTGAGACAGAACATTATGGAGGGAGAGTTTTGTGGTGGGAAGCAGCTCACATGACAATCAGAAAACAGAGAAATAGAGAGACTCCACTCTCCAAATACAAAATATATACCACATAGCCATGCCCCCAATGAACCACTTCCTCCAGCCACACCCCACCTACTTCTAGCCACCACTAAGTTAATCCCATCAGGGAAAATTCACTGATTGGGTTAAAGATCTAACTCAAACTTTGCATTGTCTCATGTGAGCTTTTAGGGGACACCATCTAAACCATAAGAATACTATTAGATTGTCTCTTTATAATCCTTGCATTGTTCTATATGAAGAAGAGAATTTGGGTCTTAAAAATTGGTGACAGTTGTTCTATTGAAGATAGTTGTTCTTGATCTAGATGCAGAAATGAAAAATGCATTGCTCACACATTCACTG